ATTGTTGTTTTGGTTCTCCAACTGAGGCTGGCTACAAAAACTTGAAACTTTATATATTCTTTTTTATGCTTGTCCTCCTTATTTTGCTTGCTGTTGCTGACAGTGTTTGTCAACAATTATTCATTCTAATATTTCTCAGACTTGCACATGGTAGGCATGTCATGAGCGGGGCTGGCTGGGCCAGGGATCAGACTCATTCTGTTTCTATGCTTCTATTCTCTGCTCAAGCGGCCCTCACCTGCACCAGCAGTCTGCACTTTCCAGGCAAAGCTGTGAAGGCCTAGTAACCTATCTCCCTAATCAAGAGGAATCTGTCTTTTGATAAGAAGATTCCTTTGAAGGGGGAAAACTGTTGCCAATTGCAGCACCCCAAAACACCCCAAAAGTAATTGGCCAGAGAAAGGCCCCAAAAGTACCCAGAGGAAGCCCACATAGTAAAAACACCACAGTTATACTGTTCCAGAAGGGAGGGCAGATAAGAACAAAATGAACTTTGTGTAACCCACAGCTAACACACTAGCCTGACCTCGAATACAGTAATCAAAGGCACAGTGGAAACTGGTTCCAGCCGCCATGAAAGTTGCAAATGTGTAGGGAGTAAGAACATGGCAAGCCTGTGTGAATCTCGAGCAGATAAGAAATAGACATGGGAAATGTCTGGTCCTTGACAGAAGAAAGGACTCTTTCTCCAGCACGGGAGGGGGTGCATGCATTGATGTATCGATGCATTAGATATGTATTAGATGACCTAATTGGTTACCTAGGGTATAAAACGCATGTACTGGGGCGCAACTTTTGAGACACTGCTTTGGGCTGAATGTCCCCCTTTGTCTCCCTTTATTCTATAGTGCACCAGAATAAACCTGGTTTTGGCTCTAAGTCTCGTCTCAGGCTCCGTTTGGCTTCAGGTCTGGGGTCCACCCAGAGTTTGCCCCAGCTGTTGACTGGCACAGTCCGGTAACATTTCTATGTGACCAGTATGTTGATAAAATTGACAGATGATACTAAAATGGGAGTGATAGCCACAACTGGGGAGCAGGTACTCTGGACCCAGAAGGATCTGGACAGGCTATGGAAGTGGGTGGGGGACCACAGGATGATGTTCAATGTGGATAAGTGCAAGTTCCTGCACCTGGGCATCAGAAATGGGCATCAGAATTACAGGTTAGGGGACAAGTGGCTGAAGAACAGCACCTGTGAAAGGGCTCTTGGGAATACTGATTAACTGCAAGCTAAACAGGAGTCTGCTGACTCACCGTGTGACATGGTGGTCAAGAGGGCAAACACCACCCTTGGGTGCATAAGCATGAGCATGGTTTCTAGATTTCTATTACTAGCACCCTAAACAACTCTGGTGAGCCTGCATCTGGAGAACTGTGCACCGTTCTGGGTTCCACATTGCAGGAAGGATATAGCCAGGTTGGAATCGCTGCAGTGTAGCGTAGTGGTTGCGAACCTATGGCACATGTGCCATGCAGTGGGCATGCAGAGCCCGCTCTGTTGGCATGCGAGCCAAGCCGCCCCAGTATCACCCCAGCAGCCGACCATTGGCTAACAGCACACATTGGTCCCATGCTCGGAAAGGAGTAGCAGTGCCAGGTGACGATGTCATGGGCTGCAACTCATTAGCCGCAACTCGTTCGAGCTTTCGCATGGCCAGTCAGTGCATTGCCAAGGATATATATATATATATATATATATATATATATATATATTTGCTTGGACTGGCTGTGAGTAGTTTTTTCTAATATAAAACCTCAGTTTTCAGGTTTTATTGTAGTGTTGGCCCTTTGCAATAAATAAGTGGGTTTTGGGTTACAATTTGGGCACTCAGTCTCTAAAAGGTTCACCATCACTGGCCTAGGGCCACAAGAATGGTTCAGTCTGGTTCTCCAAAAAAGACCCCAGAGCCCTCAATGGCTCATTGTGACAAATTATCTATTCAATGAAAAAATCACTCAGATTCCCCATGAGCTTCACAGCTGAGTCAGTTCAATCTTTGGTTGTGTCCAGTGCACAAATTCTTAGTCTGTTTATAGATGAGTTTCAATTGCTGCAACCCAGTGATGTGGACAAGGTGCCTGGGTTGGTTCACCTGACCATCTGCTGCTTGACCCTTGCCCTTCATGGTTAATTGGAAAATCAAGGGAGGTGGTTTGTACCTGGGTCCAGGAGGCTGTCAATACCTCTTTAAAAGAGGTCGTGGTTCCAGCTTCCCTAAAGGAAGCAGTGATAAAACCACTCCTGATAAGTCCCACGGCTGATTACCAACTATGGGCCGGTAGATGCTTACATTTTATTGTATTTTAGTATTTGGTTGTCCATCTCACCTGGACATATTTCTTGAAATTGATCTGGCCTATGTCAGTATTAATATTATTAATCAGTTATTTTTAATGATAATTTTGCTTGGTTGTAATTGTATTGCTGTATGTCACCTAGAGGGCTCATTGGATCTATTCGGCAGCTTATAAATTATAAACATGAATAAATAAATGGGAAGGGTGATAAACTGGGAATAGGACTAGAGATCAGGTGGGCATGGAGCAGCCCAAGACTTGGGGCAAGGGGTTCTGTCTCCTTTTCCTGGGTCCCTCAGCTGCTGGGAGGAATGTGAACTGGGCACTGACAAGGAGTAAAAAGCACTTGTAAGAAGCAAGCCCATACCTGCACTGATGCCATACAGGAAGCGTCCTACCAGAATCAGCTCAAAAGACTTGGCCATCTTGCTGAAACCAACAAAGAAGGCACCACCCAGCATGAGCACATTGTTTCCCAGGAGGCATCTCTTTCTGTTGAAAAAAGCAATGGAAGCGGCCATGAGCAAGAAGAGTGGGGGAGGGGGGAGAATGGATTTCCATCCAGCCCACACCCTGTCGGTATTCTCCAGGATCCCAGAGGAATCTATCGAGGTGCATAGCTGGAAAGGGGCTGCCCCACTGAATGCCTTCCCTGTCCTCCATCCAGACATGCCACAAAGGACCCCGAGGCCTTGCCTTCCAGCACAGTGATTTCCAGCTACGGAAGAGCACAGGCAACGGCAACTTGGAAGCCGTACCTTGTGCAAATCTCAGATGAACGAAGGCTGAGCACATGCAGATGGGATGAAAGGTGTTAGGTAGATGCAACAGTGCCTGCAGTAATACGACATGTTGTGTTAATGACCACAGCGGAAGGAAAAGGGTTGATGTCACAGACAGAATGAAACTAGCCTCTCTCCTGGATCTGGGCCTTTCCTGCCCCTTCTCTCCTCCCTCCTTCGCTGGAAAGGGGACTGGATCATGTGACTGCTTGGATCACTCTTCTCCTGCCCTTGGCAGGCACAGCGAGGAGAGGTAGGGGGCCCGGGCCACCCCCCCCCCACCTGGCCACCCCCGGGCTTGCATAATTAAAAGGCGGGCTGGATAAATGGGCATGGCAAGCCGGATCCAGCCCATGGGCTGTAGTTTGGGGACCCATGGTCTAGCTGGATTTCTTGAGGAAAGGCCCCCACCCCCAAGAATGCAGAGCAAGGGAAGGGAGGAGATAAAAATATTGGAACACCTAAGGCCATTCTCTGCAGTTCTTTGGCAGACTCTGATCTTGAGTGATTTAACTAAATGTACTCACTCTTGAGTACATTTAACTAAAGCCAAACAATACAATTTTGAGCAGATTAAGGCAATATACTCATACAAAACAAATTTAAAAAGAATTAAAGATATGATTAATCTGAGCCTAAAGAATCTATGAGAAGCTGAAAAGCATATCTGCACATATCTGTAGAAGGGGATCAGGTAGAGGCAGTGTAGGTAAGATTATCGGGTCTAGAGGTGGCCAAGGATCTGATAGTAGGGGTATGTTATTGCCCACTGGGTCAACCTGAGAACCTGGAGGATGTTCTGATAGACCAGATTGGAAGGGTATCCCAGGGGAGGGACATGGTCATAACGGGAGACTTCAACTTCCCTGATATTTGTTGGGAGACACACTTGGTGGTGGCGGCCAGGTCCCATTGCTTCCTGGAAGCTATGGAGGGTGGGATTTTCATCCAGTGGGTCTTAGAGGCAACATGGGGGGAACGTCCTAGACTTGGTCCTGACCAACAGGGAGCATTTGGTGGATGATGCGCAGGTTAGGGGAGCTCTGGATGCAAGTGGCCACTCCATCCTGTCCTTTGAGATCAGGGGAACAGGGATGAGTGGCAGGTCAAGTGCTAGGAGTTGGGACTTCTCGAGGGCCAAGTTCAGTTAACTGAAGGCCAGACTGGAGGAAGTCTCCTGGCAGAGGGTACTGGAAGGTAAGAGAGTTCAGGAGGGGTGGATGGCTCTAAAAAGCCATTTTGTGAGCCGCCCCAAGGCTTTGTTGCGATGGGGGCGGCATAGAAATGTTTTAAATAAGTAAATAAATAAATAAAAAGGGAGGTCTTGGAGGTACAATCCTTAAGGATACTGCTGAGTAGAAAAGTGGGGAGGTATAGGAGGGCGCCAGCATAGATGTGAAGAGGAGTGATAAGAGGGATTAGAAGGAAGAGGGGCATCCACAGGAAATGGACACTGGTGCAAGAGGACAGAAGGGGTTGAGGCCTGCAAAATATGCCAAGAGCAACAAAAAGAGCTTTCTATGTAAATAGAAAGAGGAAGGGGAGACAGGTGATTGAGAAATGGATTTGCTTTGGGATAGATTGATGCACTGTCCAATGGATTAAGGCATGGTTGATGGACCACAAGCAGAGGGTGACTCTCAGTGGGGAATCATCAGGATGGCAGCCAGTGACAAGCGGGGTCCTTCAGGGTTCAGTTCTGGAACCAATTCTGTTCAGCGTTTTCATCAATGACTAGCAGGAGGGGCAACCAGTTTGCTGACCAAATTCACAGATGATACCAAAGTGGGGGTGACGGCCACAACAGAGAGGCAGGCACCCCAGATCCAAAAGGACCTTGTCAGACTATGGAGGTTTTTGGGGGACAACAGGATGTTGTCCAATATGGATAAGAGCAAGATCTTGCACTTGGGCATCAGGAGTAAGTGCCACTGGTACAGGATGGGGGACAAGTGGCTGGACAGTGGCACCTGTGAGAGGGCTGCCAGGATGCTTGTCAACAGCAGGCTGAGCTGCCAGCACTGTGAAGTGGCATTTATGAGGACAAACACCACCCTTGGATGTGTAGCCAGAGATGTGGCTTCCCGATCAAGAGAGGTGCTGGTGCCACTCTATATGACGCTGGTGCCCTCACAACTGGAGTATGGCGTCCAGTTCTGGGCTCCACATTACAAGGGAGAGATAGCTAGGCTGGAATCAGTTCAGTACAGGGTCACAAGGATGGTAGCCAGATAAGGGGAGGTGCCATATGAGGTGAGATTTAAGGAACTGGGACTTTTCAGCCTGGAGTGGAGGAGACTCTGAAGGGCTCTTATAGCAACATCTAGGTAAGTGAAGGGGTGTCACATGGTAGAGGGTGGTGACCTGCTTTCCTCTGTGGTGGAGGGAAGAGCAAAATCCAGTGAGGCAAAGCTAAAGGAACTGGGTTTTAGGTTGGATGTCAGGAAGCATTTCCTGATGGTTAGGAACCCTAAGATATGGAACAGGCTTCCAAGGGAGGTGGTGGAGGCCCCATCGGGGAGGGTGTTGAAGGACAGATTGGATACCCACATGCTGGGCATTATATGAGCAAAGCTGGCTTGTGCCAGACTTTGGTCAGACTAAATGGCCCAGGAGATCCCTTCTGACTTACTATGTTACTAAATTTATAGGCCACTGAAGAACCCAGCAGGACTGTCTAAGCAGCAAGCAACAAGAAACAATACCAATTTAATTAGACTTGAACACAATTTCTGGGAGTAGGGTAACCCAATTGCTTGTAATAGAACAAAATCTTGCAGGCAAGTTGCTAAAATCAGGTATTAAAATATCTATGGAAACCGATAGTTTTTACCTGGTGTCAAAATAAAAGTAATGAAGGTGCAGGGTAGACATCTCTGGGAAGCCCATTCCAAAAGTAGGGTGCACTGAAAAGGGCCTTCTTCTAATTGCCATCTCTCTCACTTCCATTAGGTCCTCATGCCCAGTTCTCAATGGGTGTGTGTGTGTGTGTGTGTGTGTGTGTATTCAATATATAGGAAAAGGTGGCCCTTCAAGTAACCAAGCTTTATATGTTAAAACAAGCACTTTACATTGGACCAACTTACAACCAGTGTAATTGATATAAAAGTCAGTCAGTCAGTACCTAGGACATGGGCGGCTGACTGACTGACTGACTTGGGCACCAGGACCCAGAGAACCAGGCTAGAGTCCGAGGTCCGATCCAAATCACAATCCAGGGTCAGTGCCTGGAGTAGGGAAACAAGGTAAGACCAGTCCAAGAGGCAAAAGCATGGTCAAACTATCCAGGAGTCAAGAAGCCAAGGAGACAGTACAGACAGGAGCAGCTACCTGAGAGCCCAAGCAAGGGCCAGGAAACCAGGTGGAGTCCAAGAACAGGAGCAAGGTTCAATATTCCAGGTCACAACAAACAAGGAGCACTGCAACAAATCATTGCCAAGGTAGCTTCTGAGGGGAAGAGCTGGTTGTTAAATAGCTGTTCCCCCAGGGCTCCTGGGTGGTGCTCATGAGAGCCCTGGCAGCTGCAGTAGATTGGGGGAGAAATCCTGCAACTACTAGGGCTGCTATGCTGCTCCTTGGCCAGCAGATGGTGCCCTCAAAACTGTCTCAGATCCTGACACAGTCCATTATCGAACTCAGATACTGACTGGTCCAACATGGAGACTGCCTTACCTGGATTTGATGTAAACAATAGGTAGAGCTGAGTGTTGTCAGTATATTGGTGACACCTCAGCCCAAACCTCCAGATGACCTTTCCCAGCGGTTTCATAGAGATGTTGAAAAGCATGAGAGATACTATAAAGCCCTGCAAAACTGTGGGACAAAGAAACTATCTCCCAGCACCAATTCTGAACACGGTCAGCCAGGAAGGATTGGAAACAATCCAAGGCAGTGCCTCCAACTCCTAACCCAGTCAACCTGTCCAGAAGGACACCATGATCAATGGTGTCAAAATATGGGAGATTCACTCGGCGGTGACAGCCAGGTCACGTTGCTTTCTAGAAGCTATAGAAGGAGGGTTTTCACACAGAGGGCCTGAGAGGCGATGAGGGGGGAAACATCCTTGACTTGGTCTTGACCAGTAGAGAGGAGCTGATGGATGAAGTACAGAATAGGGGAGCTCTGGATGCGAGTGATCACTCCATCCTTTGCTTTGAGATCAGGGGACTGGGGACGTGCAGCAGGTCGAGCACTAGAAGCTGGGACTTCACTAGAGCCAACTTTGGCCAACTGAAGGCCAGACTGGGGAAAGTCTCCTGGGATAGGTGACTGGAAGGTAAGCGAGTTGAGGAGGGGTGGATGGCACTCAAAAGGGAGGTTTTGGAGGCGCAAGCCTTGACGATACCTCTACTCAGTAAGGTGGGGAGGCAGAGGAGAGTGCCGCCATGGATGCGAAAGGAGGTGGTTAGAGGGATTAGAGAAAGAGGAACCTCCGTAGGAAATGGGTATTGGGGGAAATAGACAAAAGGGTATACCAGGAGGAGGAGGCCCGTAGCAGAAGGATTCTTCACAATGCTAAGGCTGATTACGACCTGAGACTTGCCAAGAATATCAAGAGCAACAAAAAGGGCTCCTTTCAGCATGTAAATAGGAAGAGGAAGGGGAGACAAGTGGTGGGACCACTAAATAAGGAGGAAGGAAATCCAGTGACTGATATGAGGGAACAGGCACAGATGCTAAATGACTATTTTGCCTCTGTGTTCTCCCCAG